CACATAAAAATAGAATTGTAAATCCTTAGAATAGAGGTTTATAACTGTCAAATCTGTAGCTCAAATGATAAGAACTTTCAGTGGCTGTGTGGTGTTGGTTCCCTGATTTATCCTCTTACTGATTTTCAAAACAGACAAAAAGTAACTATAAATAACAAGTTAAAGAGTCATCCAACTCCTGGCACATAATCTGTGCTGGAATCCTGAGTGCTAACAGGAGATAGAAGGACTTTGTCAAGCCCAGTTAAAGGTACTATAAAAGAGGGAATATTTGCATGTGGGAATTCCTGACTGGAGTGTTAAGAACCTTTCAGCTTTTCAAACAGATTTTATTTCCATGAAATAGACTCTATTTGGAACTGTGACATAAGGTCTTTTTTTTTTTAATATATGTAAAGAAAAGTATCAGTAAATATCCCTATCATTTGAACCGGTATCTTTGGTGTGTTGGCCTGTCACCAGTGGCTAGACTATGGCAATCTGAATGTTATATATGTGTACATATATATATGTGTGTGTGTGCATGTGTGCATATGGACACAGCATCTGAAGACTTCTCAGTGAAGACTCAGGAACGCTGGATGTGTTTGCAGTCGCCTCTTGCATTAGAATTTTGTACCCTGCCTAGGTGTCACCTCATTACAGATAGTTGTCTATCTTTCTTTATAATGCCTGTTCCCTCAGCATCAGAGCATGCCAGCAATGATAAAATAGATTTGCCATTATGCCTCCACTTAGCTGTTAGTGTTATTCATTTCACAAGTGGCACTTTTGCTGTTTCTTTTCAACGAAGTCATTCACCTGCTGTGAGCCTGGCTTAGAAGTAAGAATGAATAATGCATTTCAGATTCAGTTCACATTAATATAGATCTGAGACATATTTAGTTTTATAAAAAGAAGAGCTTTGATCTTGGCAGCAGTGAATTTTAAATGTTTATAAGCGTACATTTTTCATGATTTCTGAGTTGTTGCAGCACACATTTGTATGTATATATGCACAGCTCTGTTTTCTCAGCTGACAATGGCTTTCTATGTCCTTGTCTCTGACGGAACGCTTTAGTGTTAAGGAATCTCTACTTTTTCTGGTGCAGGTACTCCTTTGTCCACAGCAGGCATTTAAAGAGATTGTTCAGCATCAATGAATACAATGGAACAATCATTACAACTCAACCTCTGGACCGAGAGATCGCTTCTTGGCACAACATAACTGTTACAGCCACAGAAACAAGTGAGTAAGAAATTCAAGCGATGCTGTGTTTTATATACTGTGAACTGCAATCTTCCTCTGAACATACCTTCTTTTAAAGAGGAGAATACATGCTTCTTATTATATTACTGTTGCTTGCTACATTAAGGAGCATTATTAAAATGATTAGTTAAATAGAAGTGGAATGTATTTGAGCTCTAAGGTCCTGTGCTCTTTCATAAAAGATGACCTTATAAAAACAGAAAGGAAATTGTAATAAGATTGAGACTGTAACGCTTTCAAGTTACACTGAAGCATATGAATTGTTCCTGCAGTGCAAGATCTTATGTTAAATTAAACCCTGGTTAATTTCATACCAGATTTTTGACTAGTGTGAAATTAGCCAGGATCTAAATTAACACCAGTTAGAAACCTGTGGCTCATTAATTGTGAATGTAAGGCCTAAATCAGCTAGACTTCTCTTCAGTGACAATTAAATATGTGAATCATCCTTTATATAGATTTCACCTGTCAGTTTGGTTTGAAAGTCAAATGCGAATTTCCTCTGTGCTTTTGGTGATCTTGTTGCCTTAACTCTGAAATTTAACAGCTACTGGTTTATAAGGTGTTTTAACAAGATTATTGGGATATTATTTAAAAACGAATCACATCCATCCTCACAAAGGAGAAAAAACATATGAATCTAGAGTCCAGTCAATAAACCAGACAGGTTTTGCCATATACTTTTATCATGTTTCTTTAATCCCAAATCTCAGTAAATGCTATTTATAGCTAAGACTACTTTAAATACATATTCATAAATTGCACTCTTCCCAAAAGGCAGAATTCCCTATGTACATGAAGTATATTACTGCAAGAAGTTTAATATAAGATAGTCAGTACCCATTTTCATTGAAGTCTTTATTTTGTGTTTGAGATTTGATAGTATTTTCTCCCTTTTCAGCTTCTCTGTGAGTTTTTAAGCATGAATGTATTTTGCTTCTCATGTTGTTGGGCAGCTGGCAGGTGTTGGTAAAATTGATCTCTGGCATTTTTTTTATCATGTCTCGAATAGCACTATGGAAACACAGCAGGATGACTTTGGTCTGGACTTTTCTGTTTAGTTAAACCATAAAATAGGAAGGAACCAAATGTTACAAATGAATGTGTCTCCTGCAGCAAAAGAAAGCGAGTCTGTAATGCAAGTTATTGTACAGAAACCGAGCCCTCATTATCTTCACATTCTTATTCTTTTTTCTTTAATGGTCACTGTCTATAACAGTATATTCAAAAGCATTGAAGATAAGTCACCTTGGTCTGGTGACACCTGAAATGATTTATATCATGAACTAGTAGCATTTTATTCCTTGAAATACAATATACACCATATGCATGAGACATTTGGTGGATGACATTTTGGCTCCACTGAAGCCAAATCAAAATGCCATCCGCACAAGGTATTCATTGTAGTTGAGACAGATACTGAAACTTTGTTACAACAGTAACCCCTCCAGGGGCCTATTGAGGTTCTAGTATTCATAAAAGACAGAAGATTTTTGTCTGCATTGCAATGATAGAGATTAGTAAGAGGAACTTGCCTCTGTTGTTGCAGACTTGTGTGGATCATCCTATCCTCATACCATTGAGAAAGCATGTTTTAAAAGTACACAGGAGTAGATCTAATTCATTGGACCCTAAATGCAAGCAGTTTAACCTGCATTCTGTTGAGTCTTATTCCACTTTATGCCCTAGCTGGTTCTAGCTCCAAAGAAATCAAGTTTCCTTTGATCAGTTTTTACTGGGTTGTAATCAGCTTCCACCTAGTACAAGGCTGAAGCATAAACAACAGCTTTCTAGTCATGTATGAGAGCAAGAAATCTTTAAGTCATCAGCTTTACTTAACACTGATTTTCTGAGTCAGATAAGGATTGACTGACAATTAATGCAATTAGAAGATGAATATCTGCTTCAGCTTTCTCTTTATTGAACTACACATGACCAACAAATCTCCCAATTATAGCAGCTGGCTCAAGCTTATTTTGTTCCTCATTTCTCTACACAGCCATTAGGAAAGTGCACTACCAGTCATAAGCAAACTTACACACAAGAGACAACAATCATTTTCCTACTAAGTCTTGAAGATGTCCTTCCAGTGCGGGTCCAGACCTCCTATATGAGTACGGAATTTATAGGTCTTTGAAGGTTTTGGACAAAGAATATATCATTAATTTAATATTTAATTGTCACTCCATTTTGATCATATATACCTTTGTTGATAGACTTCTGACTTTTTAGATTAGTCCCTTTTTAAAAAATAATTTGTGTCCATTTCCTTTAGGTAGTAATTTGCTTTAACTTAAATTATAGCTATTATTATTATTATTATTACTCTTATTAATATTTCTAGTACAAATTTCCTTCTACTGACTTCTGACATCAAGCTTTCTTTAATTCTCTGCAAATATTAAGTTCTCTCATCTTTGTTGCTAGAGATGGTCACTGCTTTTCTGCTCATATAGTGCCAAAATAAGTAAGTTACTAAATTAAGTAAGTCCCTTTTAATTAAAACATCAACTTTGTTCTTCAGACTGATCCATCCTATTTCATTTGATATCCTCTTCTCTCAAACCTTGCTTTTCAATTTCTGATTTCTCTCAAGGGGATTATGACAAAGAAATTTTCTGCTTATTGGAAGATCTTTAGCTTAGTGTAGGATACAAGTACAATAGCTGTATTCAAATTCTGAAAACTGTTTTCCTCTGTGAGAGATAAAAGACAAAATAAGTGTTGCCTACCATCTTCACCAATTGAAACCAAAGCGGTCACTTTGCTTCACCCAAAATCTTCATTGAATATTTACTTGAGACTGATTGAAAATTTCTGTACTGTTATGTTCCAACAAAAATATCAGAAATGCTGTTCCTTGTCATTTAACCATATGCTGAAGACAAAAAACCAAAACCACAAACCAAAACAAACAAACAAACATACTAAAACCAAAAACAACAACTCAACAACCTGTATATGGTCAGGAAGTAGAAACAAGACTATTAATAAAAATAAATAAAAAAGAAGGGTTATTTAGAATCATAGATTACTGGGTTGGAAGGGACCTCAAGGATCATGTAGCCCAACCCTTTGAGGTAAAGAAATACAGTTTAAATGAGATGGCTGAGCACCCTGTCAAGCTGAGCCTTAAAACTGTCTAAGGTTGAGCAATTCACCATATCTCTTGAAAAACTATTCCAATGCCTAATTGCTCTCACTGGTGAGAGAAAACAAATATGAATGGCGACTCTAGGCTAAAAGGTTCTATCTAAATATTTATGAAAGCAAAGTGTAGGTTTTAAAGCCAACATAGTACCCATAAATCTTGTGAATAAGCAAGTTGTGAATAGACAAAGATAGCTGGGTCCTTCCCATGCCACTTTGTACAAGACTGAAGCCACCAAAGTATTCCTTGTCTCCTAATAAGTGTTGTAAATTTTTTACGTTTATTTTAAAAAAAAAAAATAAAGTCAAGCATTGTTTCATTGCCTGTTATATTGTTATGGATGTTGGGATTCAACATTCATTCCATAAAAATGTAGTTTTCAGATGACTCTGACAGATCATAAACTTTGTTAAATTAACACAACTCTAATGATTTCGCAGAAGAAATAGAAATGTGAAACTGCTGAGTATCTAGACCTTTATCTCTGTGGTAGTTGCTTTTGCTGCCATTTCCTTTGGCAGAAGTCTCAAAGCTATCAACACAGATTCTATGAGATCCAAGAAAACAAATGTTTGCTCCAAGCAACTAGTGAATTATACATTAAAAAAGCAATGTAAGAACGAACCAAACCTGTACAGTTTGAAGTGAGGCACAAAGGAGTAGGTTTTGTTTTTCTCTTAAAGGTCCATTTGACTAACTTAAGAAAATGCCTTGAGGACTTCTGAACAGATCAGAAGCAGTGTCATTAGCACCCATCTTGAGGCATATTTTAACTATAATAAAAGTATTTGTGAGTGACAGATTTCTGGTTTAGACAGAGCAGACTGAGATATTGATAGATATTGAGGTTGACAGATATTTAGTATTCCTGGAATGTCCTAAGATCATGTTGTTCACTGGAAAAACATCTTCATTGTGGTCTTTACCCAGCAACACATCCAAGTTAATTTGAACATTACTGTTGCCGTGAACTTCTTGCCTACTAGAGTAATAAATTACGTTGTGGGGAAGGTAGACGCCATGCCATGTAAGTGAGGATTTAACTCCATTCACTACCACTCTTTGGATCCAGCCATCAAGCCATTTTTTTATCCAGTGAAGACTATGCCTGTCCAAACCATGAGCAGCCAGTTTCTCCAGAAGAATGCTGTATCTGCAGATCTTCCACCCCTTGGTTTCAGGTGACATATTTATAAACATTTTTATTACATCAACAAATAGCTTTTTTCAACCTAATCTACACACAGCTTTTGTACCATGAAACTAGTATAGTTAGATCTGGCTTTTCCTTGTCTGAGGTAGTTATAGCAATATAACCTTGTGTAAGTGCAGTAAGTGCAGGGGAAAAGTGCTTTATATTAGCAGAATTTATTTTACTTTTCATACAGGAATAAGCCATACTGACATAGTCTTTATATCTAAAACCATAGTAATACAGTGACTTTAGATATATACAGTAATAAAATATACTTGTATAACAGAAGCAGTATAGTTTCTGTTGTGCAAATAATAATTGGAATAAAACTATAAGCTCAATCTATGAAATCTGTCAGCTGTAATGCTTTGACTATGCCAGGGCAAAATCAGACTTCTTTGCAAATATGTGTTTGGAGACCAGTGGATAGAATAGTTCTGTTGTTCCAAGTTCAAAGTCTCAGTTTTCTGTCTTGGCTAGGGTTGAGTATCACTGCAATTACTCCACGTCTAGCCATGACAGAAATAGTTTCCAAGCATGTGAATTTTGGTGAAATTTTCTCCCAAAGCATCAAAATTTCAAAATACTAAAGAAGAGGAAAAGTAACAGAACTTTTCAAAGGGTTGTCACCGATTGTTGCGGTATCCCCGATGTTACGTGATGTCAGAAACTGCAGCCTCCTCCTCCTGCCTCTCCAGCCCAGGACCATCCCGCTGGCCACTGGAGCCCAGCTCAGTGCTCGGAGACTCCAGGCCTCAGCTCAGGCTCACTGATGACGTTGACACTTTCTAGTTTGCAGGCTCAACCTGTAGCAAAGCTGAGCACGTGTCCCAGAGACATAGACTCAGAGGACGCTGATGAAGCCAGTCACACAGACTGCCACAGACAAGGTGCTGTCTTCAGCAGCACCTACATCCTAATTACAGGGCTTGGATAAACCACAGTGACAGAGAGACAAGTGCCCTCCTCTTCGCCTAAAAAGACAGAAGGTCTCTAGTGCAGCGACACACACACACCCACACACACCACTCCCCAGGTTCACAGGCACATCCACACACTCACGGATCCCTTCAGTACTCTACATGGACTGTCTGTCCACCTGGCATCCCTCCCCAGATCCAGGGTCCCCTTAACTGCTTCATGGGTCCCTGACTCACCAGCTGGTCTAGATCGATGTTCATTGGCAAATCCACAGCACTCACATACTCATCCCTTATGCACCTCACATTCACAAGTTCCTCCCTCAGTGTACCTGCACGGACACCCCTGAGCATCTGACCCAGATCCAAGGACTCCCTAGATGTGATTGTGTCCATCTGAAAGTTTTCTAATGAAAACACACACACACACCCCACATACACCCAATCTGGGGAAGATATAGACACTTGTCGCCTGTGCTCCTCACTCACCATGGGCTAGGGACACCCAGCCCACCCTGACTGACTCCAGCAGCTGGCAACAGTTTCCACTCACGCATATGCAGGTCTCACCAGTGGCTGGTACTTAGCCTGTGCAGCACACATATACATGCAATGTATATACATGCATGTATATACATTGTATATACATGTATATCCATGCAATGTATATACATGCAATGGTGGAGAGTGAGACTGTGCCAAGAGATAGCTAAGAAATGATTTAATAAGAAGATGCAAGATAATAGGACTGACTGGTGATCAGATATAGGGCTCAGCCATTCATGTGTACTGACTAGCCCCATTTTACAGACAACCAGCCCCTTTTTTATATCCCTTTTTTTCTGCCTCCTCTATTACATCTTTACTGATTCCCACATCCCTCCAGGTCTATGGTCCCTCTGGTTTACAGACTTATCAGTTGCAAAATCCAGGTTAGTCTAGCAGAATTGTTGCCCTGGGGTTTCTGGATAGCCACCAGTTATCAGGAAGTTTGTTTCTTGTCATTGTCTCCATTTTTGCTCTGTCAGGTTTGTCTTGGTGTATTTTGTTTCTGTCTTCCCCTTTCTCTCCCTCTGTGTCCCAAATGACAAGGTCCCCAGTCTGATAAGTTTGTAGGAATAGATTTCCTCACACTCTCACATGTTCCCATCAATTAGTGTGTTTGATCAGGTCTGGTTCTCATCACCCCCACCCTTTGTCCCTCAGGTTTGTGTCCCTGTATGTTCTCGTTTATGGCTTCTTCCTTTTCTTATGAACACTGAGTAAAATACTTGACCAGATACCTTTAGAGGAGCAGACACTCTCCTTCCACGTACCCTTACACATATTAGTACAGTGAATTGATCTTTGAGAACAAAACTTCATTTAATTTCTCCAGATCAGATTTTGGTTTTAATGTTTAAATTGATTTCTGACTTGATAAATGAGAGAGTGAACAAATCCAAAATTTTACATGGAAATATCCTTATACGTGTCGAGATATACTATTATAATAGGATGAATTGCTGAAAAAGAAGAACAAAACCAATGCCCCACCTCTTTTTACACCTTTTGTGGACAGAGAAGAAGCAAAGAAAGAAAATGTCCTTTTATATATATAGGATATATCTGACACCATTAAAAAGATTTAATATAAAATGTGTTACCAGGTCTCAGTGACTATTTTCTTCTCTGCAGAATATGTAAATTTTCTAATGCCTACCTTAGTTTAAAATATGTAGTAGATTGTAACTTTTAGTTTCTGTCTTTTTTTAACCCTTAGGAAATCCTGAAAAAATTTCAGAGGCTAATGTATATATCCAAGTTCTTGATATTAATGATCATGCACCAGAATTGCCTAAGTATTATGAAACATTTGTCTGTGAAAATGCAGTTTCTGGCCAGGTAAATATGAAGAAGTTAGACATTTGTTTTCCCATTTTGATGAAGATTTGATCTGAGATGTTACTGTTTCCTGTGTTTTGTCTATGTCCAAAATTATTATGTTGATATACGTATGTTTGAAATACAGATTTCAGAAGACTGACGTGTATTTTTCCCCTTTTAATACAAAATCAATACGTTTCCTTGTTTGTCTACCAAAATCGATAACAGAGAAATAGAGACAGAACAACCCTCCCAAAAAAACCATAAAATGAATGTTTGATTCATGCTCATGTTCATGTTGCAGAAGTTAAAAATAAGTCTAGCATTTTCAGCAAGAACATAATGCAGTCTGGAAGAACCAGACTTAAACCAGATTCATACCAGATTCATTGTGGTCTTCTGTTAAAAATCTTTTATTGTGAAATTACTTCAAACCTGGACTATTTCAGTGGAAATCTGAAGATTTTTAAGTCACAGCCCTTGCAGCCTCCTCCCCTGCCGGCAGCTTGTGGGATTGTCATATTTAACACCCTTCCCTGGAAGGGGTTTTTCATTTCCTCCTGTCTCCTAGGTGAATGGGGTCACATCAGTCAGCTGCCTTAACCTCACAGGTACACTGCTGACTCTTTGTTTTCCTCTAAGGCTTTACTTCTTTCTTTTTAAAAAAGTGATCCAGTTCTACAGCCTAAGCCCTAAACTGTGCAATAAGCATGCCACTAGGCTCCACACAGGAGTTTAAAAGAAAATGGCAAAAAAAACCCGAAAACAGGATATTCAATGTTTAAAAAAAAAAAAAAAAAGGACAAAATGAGCAACAAAAAAAGCAACAACAAAAAAGCTGTAGACAGAAAAATCTATGTTTTTTTCACCACTTTAAAGAATTCTTTGGACATACAAAAGAGACCTTTGGACTATTTGTGATGGTCCCATTCAAACGTTTTGCTGTTTTGATTTCTGAATCACAGAGCCTTTCTTTCTACACCAGCTTGGTTTACTTTCACCTTGATTAGACCACAGTTAAAAAAAGCTTTCTTTGTAGCAAAGAGAATTCTTTATAGTTTGTTTGGGTTTTTCTTTTATCCATTTATATATTTCTCTATCAGCAGTTGGTTTGTTTGTTCTGCATTCGGTAATTTTCCACTCTGCAAAGGCTGCACCTGGTTCAGAGGTACTTGGAGTAAACCATTTCTTTTGGTCTCTCGGTAACTCATTGACAGATCAAAGTACAGGCATTGAAGCAAATGCCACTTCATGTTCCCTGTCTTCAAGACACCGTAAATTAAATATGGAAGCTTATAAAATGGATGTTTGCGATGCATATTTTGGACTTGCCTGCAACATAGAAATCCAGGTGATTTATTTGCCAGGGTTTTTATAGTTGACAAATAGCATCTGTATGCTACCTCATTAGTGGCTAGTTTTCAATAAAAATTAAATACCTGTATTTTAAGTATTTTGAGAACCCCTGGAGAAAATGGCAGTGTAGAGAGTAATAGTAGTAACAATAATAATAAAGTCTTCAAAAACAAAATACAGAATTACTCCTCTTTAACATTGTAATTACTGGATGATCAGGATATTTTTCCCATTTTACAGGTAGATAAAATGTTACTCTAGTTTTTTGGACATATTTTCTTTTTATATAGCTATAGGCTTTTGAGAGGCACAAGCATCTTTAGTTTAGTCTTTTCTAAAATAATGTTAACATTGACTGTAATGACAGTAATGTTAAATAATCTTACTAACAAAATATCTTAGGAAAGACAACAGGAAATTGCTAATAAATTGCATAATTAGCACAGTCAATGTTTATGATATTTTAGTCAATGTTTATGATTTAAAATAGAATTGAAACTGATGTATTTTTTCAGTGGCACTATCCTTTTTTAAAGTTTTTACTCACAGAAAAAAAACTTCTTTATTTTTATCGCCAAGAAGCCAAAATGTTAAAAAATATTTTATAGATGCCTTGGCTGTCCACTGAATAGCACAATTTACATTTCAGAAGAATCAGTTTAAATAGTTGAATGGCTTAATCAGGACATTACATGCCTTTTTATCTTAGCCATATTTCTGCAATCAATTCCGAATAACTCAGAAATCTGCTTACATGTTACAAGTTGAGATCAAACCTTGTACAGATGTTCTATCACATTTCAATTTCTAAAGTAGGCATTTCTATCCATCTAGCTGGAAATAATACTGAGAGATATTCTCAGAGATGTTCTACACCTCTCAAATTCACTTGCTTCCCTGATATCAGCTGAGTTGTATCTACTTTCATGAGATACTCCAAAATATATTTGCATCCCACAGCTTATAGGTTTTTTGGGAAAAGAATGAAAAACACTGCAAAGGGAATGATGTTGTCAAAAAAAAGGTTTCTTATTTGGATTACTTTTTCTTGGTGTCTTCCTGGTTTACAAGAAACACAATGTAGAGTCATATGGCAAATAAGGGTTTTTTACATAGCTTTAGAGTATATTGGGCTATCATAAAGAATATGAAGTGTATCATGAATAAAACTAATTGTTGTCCTAATTATCCAGACTCAGAGGCAGTTAACGGTAGCGTCAATCCAGAAGCTTTGGATTCTCCGAAAGGCTGTAAAAATTTCTATGTCTGCTTTTCTTCAATGAGTATTGACCTTCATGTCCCTGTCTGGTGGTTTTGTGAGAATTACAGAAATGTTTAGCTTCACATCTGAAAGACATTCAAACAAATGTCTTTCGGACAAAAAAAAAATTGGTTTGTGAGACTATAATTTAAAATTTTACAATAAAAATGGAACTAAAGAAGATAGGTGGTTTTTTAGCATTATTGTAAACCTATTCATCATGTTTATTAGACATTTTGAATTTATTTTTTTCACTAATCATTTCATGTTATAGTTCTGTGTTCTCCTATAATCCAAGTCAGCTATATAGTAAGCACACCTAAATGAGCGTTTTTTGCACATTGAAAACCCACTTTTGCTGCACCACCAGTATTAAATACATTATTTTCAAAATAACTCTAACATAATTCTACCCTACTACAGCTATAGCTTCTGTCAGATCAAATAGAAGAATATTAATAAGACATCCAAAACCAGAATTCCCTTTTGATTGGATCTTTTGACTTTATAACTCTATGTAGACATAGTAAACGACCATCACAGTGTGGTATTAATTCTTTCTAGTTACCCTTTATGTGTGTGTAGATTAGCTACAAACTGTTGAATCCTAGAGGCAATATTCTATAAAAATAATCAGGACACAAAATGAACCAAATCTGTCCCAAAGGTAATACTACAGACATCTTAGTAAGAATGGATTTGACCCAGAAATCTTAATTCCCAAGGCACTAATAAATTAACTAGGCCTGAAACTGAAGCTTGAAAGCTTGAAGTATGTTATACTAGAAGTCTCATGCATGTTAGTCTTTTTTTTGTGGATATTAGTCTTTCTTCATAACATGTAGGAAACAGATTTCAGCTGAAGACAAGTTGCTCTGGATACACCTACATTCTGAATTAATACTATCTTCTCTAATGCATACTTATTCTGGTAATTCTGAGTTCCTGTATATTTGACAGCAGAGAATCTAAAGTGAGGGATTGGTAAGGCCATGTTCATTATTTCACCTTGCTATGTTCTCTTCTTCATTTACTCAGATGCTTTTTACGTCTGAGCTGTAGTGATAAGAAACTGAAAAGTTAAAAAGAAAAAAAGCAACAAAGGTACCCCTTAGAACATAAGAACATGGTGAAGCTGTGAAAGCACCAGATGTTTGAGCAGGCTCTTAGTCTAAGCTGGACCTGTAGATGCACTGACTGTAGTTCATGGCATTTTGAAGCAGTGGACACAGTGGCCCATGGAATCTTCCTTTTTCTGTTTTATGTAGATCATAATTCAACAACGTTATCTCATAGCAGAATGGAACAGGTAGGAGGAGGTTATCAACACATACGAATGTAAAAATGCACCTAAATGTGATGAAATTACTTTTATAATCATTATTCGTTTTCTGGAATGTATACCATTTTATTTAGAATTGTGTAGGAATATTTTACAGTAGACTCAGAGAAGTCAGATCAATATTGTGCCAATTTGCTTTTCAACAAAACAAATACAAGCAGTCAAAAGGAGAACCTTGATCTAGAGGTAGAAGGTCTACCTGCAAAATGCAAGTGTTGAAAAGAGTAATGAATATTTTTATCTTTTGCACACATTAAACTGCACTAATCAAAAATCCTACAATTTTTAAAACACAGCAGAGCTCCTGTTGAAGGATATTGGGTGGGGAAAAAAAGCTAAAGAAGCTAAAGCAGAAAGAGAAATGTTGCACATCTGTTCCTAGGGGGCCGGTTAGCTCAGTCAGTTGAGCATGGCGCTAACAACGCTAAGGTCGCGAGTTTGATTCCCGTTCGGTGCCCATGTGTTGTCAGATCTAGTTGAGAGGTGGCATCCCTGATGACAAGGAGGCTGGATTAAAATGATCTCTAAGATCCCTTCCAGCTTAGGCCATTCTATGATTCTATGATTGATTCTACTTAATTCCTATCAAATGGGAATAGTAAGACTATAATTTGGTACAGGAGCATGCACAAAGAACTCCAAATTATAAACTCAGAGTATTCCAGCATCAAAATCAATGGTATTAATGATTGTTCAGATGGACAATCCCTGCCTTAAGTTGAACTTGGTAGAGAGAAGTTCCTTAGAAGCGAAAAGGACTGTAGCAGAGAAGCTTTCTTCTTCCGTCTAGGCATCTTCCTATTGCCAGTTCAGTGAGACAACTTGGGTTTGAGGAATTAAATTTTCAATTAATTTTCATAAAGGCTACCAGGCAGTCAACTACTCCTTGCTCCATCACTTGTTATTTGCAAGAGAAACAACACTCAGCTAGACATTCAGTCCAGAATGGTTTACAGAAATTCTCTTCTATACAAAATAATTAATCAATGAGAGATCAGAGCTGTTACCAGTATCTTAGACTCCCATACTTATATATATTAGTTGAGAGTGATCAGATGGATGGGGAAGTTTAGTATATCTGGCCACATCTTTTTGTGACCTTTGATTAAGGGAGCTTTTGTTATTCCCAGCAGTGATCTTGTCCTGCTTAGAAAGAAACAGTAAATGAGGCGCACCTACCTTGAACTTAAATAATTTTTTTCAGGAAAAGTCAAGTGAATTAATCTCAGTTTTAAGAAAATGCACATTTTCAAATGGACTGCTGGATTATTAAATCTTCTAGATTAATGAGACTTGAAATAACTTTTACAGCAGTTAAATTTTAGCCTTGTCAATACAACAACTGTTATACCCTTGCAGAAGTAACATGCCATTCCCTCTATTTTCTTTATTTGCACATTAAAATGTAGGAGGTTTTTAAACCTCAACTCACAAACAATAAGTGCAGTTTTTCAATCTGTTATGTTTCTATGGTGAAAGGCTAGAATCTCCTAGGTTAGATGTACAAAAGCCTAGGAAATGAGAAATAAAGAAAGAGTTTCTTTTTCTCTGGGTGATTTTTTTTCCTTTGGAGTAAACAAAATCAGAGCTGCCTATTGCCCTCTGAATATTTTATAGACCCATCTGGATTTTCCTGAATCTTACCGGAAGTGATATTGTAAGAAATAAACAATAAAGATTTGACCTGTCCTTACATTCCAAATCTTGCCCTACTTCTAGGATGAATCCTTAAAGGCATGTGAATATGCCTAGAATAACCATAGAAGTCTTAGGTTTGTCTAGAAAAGCAGAGTAAAGATCAAAACAACATAAGGTGTTTTATTTTTCAGCTAGATACATACTTCTCAGAGATCTACTGATAGGATCAGATATAGATAAAATTTATACAGCAAATACATTCTGCATATAAAGCAACAGAAGTTACAAATGAAATAGCAAAACTCACAACTGCCTTAACTTTTTGATTTTCAAATATGATAAATGCCTACGAATATACTTTCCAAAGACATTGTTATTTCCTGATTAAATAATAGTTAATCAGAATTAAAACTGCAAGTATAAAAAATCACATCTATAATTGATACTTGCAGGGTTTTTGGTAGGTAAGTAGGTAAGTAATTTTTCTTTGACACATAATTAAGCTAAAAAATAGTAATAATAAATAGATGTGGCTAAGATGTCTTTTTAGATTACTATATCGTCTACATGTTGAGTCTAGCTTGATAGACCCTGAATTATATGGAGAGACATACATCCATACAAAGGTTTTTTCAGCTGTGGCCATGGGGATTTTACTAACAAATCATCGGCAAAGACCAACAAACCTTCTTTTCATTTTTTCCAGGTGTATTGTGGAATATTGTAACGAAAATGCGCCATTGTTCATGTTTTAGACTGAATATGTAGTTTTGTTCTCTATTGCTGTTCATACTGAACATATTCTGAGAACTATATTCCCTTATAAAAATAAGCCTATGATTTATTATCAAGTAACATTAGAGATCAGTTACTGCTTTTTCCTGATTTCTTGACCTTCATGCCTGTACTTGTATTTGCATCACCTTAGCTGTCTTACTTGCTCTGAGCAAAGGGAAAAAATTTCCTGAAGCCACTTCATCCTGTGTACACTGCCACCAGGTATATCACTGAACAATCATTCCTCTCATTAGTGGCAATAAAATAATATCAAGGGTCCTCATTTTTCCACAGAGTGAAAACACAGATTTGAAATAAACTTCACATATGTAAAGGGCTAAAATAAAATAAACTTCACATATAAAAAGGGCAGAGTGCTAAGAATACAAAGCTTCTGGGGTATGAGGCACGCTTTTCACTCTGCTGTGAAGAATTCATCAAAATTAGCTTGCTTGAAAAGGAAAAGAATCTGTGCTAAACTCTTAGATCTTTAACTAAAAATGGTTTAACCGGGAAAGTAGGCACAGATGGAAGTCTGTAGTCACTTCTGTTGACTTACTGTTTTACTTCTAAAGTACTAGTAGCATTCAGATGCTTTGTGGTTTAGGGAAAGTTGAGGCTTCAAATCTCTTGGGCACAAATATCTACAAGTCATGAGACGACTCATAAAATAGAGACAGAGTTCAAACTGGACACTTATCTGAAAGTTGGTAAGCTTACATCAGTTTGCTTTCCTGCCGGCTTTGACAATACTCACTAATACATGCTGATGCCCAAATCCTTACATATTTACTGATAAAAGTAACAAATTGTCACAGGAAGGATGAATTTGACCAAGGATTATATCAGTCATTATTTAAAATTTATTAATGATATGACATACATAGACAGATAAGTTTTAGCAGCTCATAAACATTAAACAAAGGCAGAATAGGTTATAGTGACTTGATTATAGATTCCTTAGATGGTAAGACTCATATTAAGTCACTACAAGATAATTCAATCAAGATATGTGCTTATATGTGCATATGTTTATGTGCATAAATACAGGGTGTGCACTTATAAAAAATAGATACATCTAGACAATCAAGCGCATGCCAGGGACAATCACGCTCATGAAAGCAAATATCTATGTAAACACATGAAGAGGTGGATGTAGAGACTAGCCTACATTTAAAATTTCCCTCTTCTTGAGTTTAGAGTAAGTCCAATGCATCACTGGAATTCATGAACAGGCAATAGTTGAGACTTGGGGGATGACTCACAGTGATTCACTATGACCTCTATCAGCAGATCACCTCAAGAAGTTTGGCACCTGAGAGGCATCCTGACTGAGCAGAGTTGCTGGTCATAGCCCAAAGTGATCCAGATGAGCTCAAAGAGTCTTCATTAGAGTTGCTATGCATAGGGTTTGACATAAGCGAACTTTGTCAGGTGCTTTTCCATACCAGCCCCCCTCTGGTTGTGCTAGAGATGTTCCCTGATATCTATCTCAGGTAAAAGGTCCAGGGGTTTTCAGCGTGTCAGGAATACAATAGGGAAAGCAGGAGCCAGGCACCTCAAGGAGGTGTCTTCATGCTCTGGTGTTCCCCATCTCCCACATAATAGGAAAGGTAGGAGACAAACACATAAAGGGGCACCTTCGTGCGCTGGTGGCCTCTGACCTTCACAATCACAATCCACAACCTTTCCAAGTAGATTTGCCCTCCATTCAGAAATAGTTATACTCTGTGACAGCTATCTTAAAAGAAAGGGGGAAAGCAGGGGAAGTTGCACCACTACACAGATACAAGCTATTTTTAAGCAGAAATACTGCTAATTATGCTAAGTCTAGTGTGGTTGTTTATTTACAAAGATTAAAGATTCTGTTATTTTTTATTATTATTTTATCTTGCAAGGAGCGTCTGATTTGATATATTTGTGAATGAAAGCTATTCTGCTTTCTTGAGAAAAAACAGCCAAGAAGTTCCGTGATCAATCTATTATAATATCCAAAACCAAAAATTCAGCACATGAACTTGTCACCGTATCTCACTTACTAAAGCTACAATATTACAGTTGAATTATGCCAATGTGCTTGTGGACTGGAAGGAAATGGATTTTGTACAGAGGGATTTGTTCAAATCTAGAACGATATACTTTTCATTTGGAAAAAAAAAAAGGACAAAACACCATATATAATTACTTTTTTCACTCATGGAATCTTTATTTACCTCTTGGCTTTTGATCCAGAAAATCTTTTACATTTTCACAAGATTTTAATGTCTGCCTCTCTCAAACAGATGAAAAATCAAAGCAGAGTATTGGCAGAACATGTGTCTCAGTAAGATTGGGAGGCACGTATTTGCAACTGCACAACATGCACTTAGTGCATATTCGTAGATCTCATCTCTAACATCAACAGGTTAACATACATGATATGTTCTTTTATTATTTCAAAGGACAAGTAAGTGCTTTCATTCTTAAACAATTCTGCTTATCTCTTTCTCCAGCTAATTCAAAGCATCAGTGCGGTGGATCAAGATGACTCAGCAGAAGGTCACCATTTTTACTTCTCCTTGGCTCCGGAGACCACAAACAACTCACGTTTTACTGTCAAAGATAATCAAGGTGGCGTCATTCATGTAGCTCTTTGAGACTTTCCTAATAAAAGATACGTACTTCAAGTGGTCTTTGCATCATCAATTTTATAAAAATATCCACTTAAATAGAAATTTGTTATAAGATACAAATATGTCATTAAGTGCATTTCAAAACAATAATTCAGCAACACTGAACATTTTAATTTCCTTTTCCAGCCAAGTAACATGAACAGCAAAAGGTAGTTTTCTTTGAAGGACAGAAAAAACGCTGAGATGAAAAATATGCTGATATTCCTTAGAGTTTATTTTTTTACTGTAGGATGTAGTGGGAAACAATAACTTTCCTGTTAAAATTGCCTGTTTGTCTAAGAAACAGGATCACCAGAAAAAGAATATTGTTGTTGATACAAGTCTGTATTAACATCACTTCAGTAAGGATAAAATTAGATCCACTGATAAATATGTATATAATCTTATTTCCTAATGTATTTTAAACTGCACATGATGATTAACAATGACATCAGAAAATGTATTCTATATGCATTTTGATGTTATTGAGAACTGTTACTGACTGAGACTTTTAGAAAGAGGAATATAGAAGGATAGCAAGCAACACCAGACTGAGGTGAAAATGTAAGTGCGATATCTGATGGAATTGCAGTGAAGATGACCCCTTAGAGTCAGTCTGCTAAGACTACAGAGAAGAGCTTCTTCAGACTCAGCTAAGGAGCACGTTGCTCTTATTGACTTTACTAATTATTTGAAAGTTCTGTCTAGGTGAATACATCAATGGAAATAACTTTTGGAAAGTTCAGACAATGTTAAATGGCAAACTACTTCTCTCAATATCTCCAAAGTTAAAGTTAATGTATTAATATGTGTTCAGTTCCCTGCTTCATTAACCTCTCACTCAGTGCCAGGAAGAGATAACTTGTTACATTAAGGTCAAACTGTGTACAAGCTGTGAACCTTTCCTGCCTCTGCTCTTTCTGTGCAAAGTCTGAGCAGAGACACGCAAAAGGCAATACGTCCACTTCCTTTTGGTGACTATTGAAGAAAAAAAAAACAAAAAAAAACCCAAAAACCACCAGACAAGAACCCACCTCTTATAACATTGCAGGATCAGCCTTCAGTGTCTCCCTTTCTGCTGCATTTCATAGAAAAGTTTAGGTGAATTGGGAGAGCCCTAGGCAAAAAGCAAAAGAGAGGCTGTAGATCTGGAGCATTTTATCTCAGAGTTGTGCTATGAATTTTTACAGAAACCCAGAACATTGACGTGAAGGAGTTAACTGCAGTAGACTTTTTGGCTAGGTATATCATACAGGCAGTGGTAGAAACAATTATCTTTTTTTTATGTACATATATGCATATATGCATATATGTGGTAATTCATCCTGCCATGATAAAAAATTCTGACATGTAAATATTTATAGATGTTTCTTGTTTCCATTATACACATATTTAGACAAGGGTATTTTTTTTTTTGTGCCAGGCTGAGTTTCAGATTTTATTTTGTTGATATGCACCAGGAGCTAAACTTTAGCTGCTTATGTATTTTGTATGGATCTGATTTCTAAACACTAATAGTTAAATACCAAGCAAATGCAGAGCCCCTAGCAACAGTTTTTCTAATTTAAATAGTAGGAGATCAACTAGCTCCAGTTTTTGAATCAGGAAAAGAAATAAGAGCCTATTTCAGTGGACTTTCTTCTTGCTTTCTTCTCTTTCC